TTAAGCCTGTGGCAAAGAACCTTGGTGTTTGGTTTGATAGTAATTTAAATTTCGAGCAGCACACCACAAAGCTTGTTCAATCATGTTTTTATCAACTTAGAAATATAGCTAAAATTCGATCTATGTTAACTTTTAAGGACATCGAGACCATTTTACAAGCCTTCATCTCATCACGCCTGGATTATTGCAACAGCCTTTTCACCTGTTTAACCCAAAAATCTATTGATTGACTCCAGACTGTCCAGAACTCAGCTGCCAGGCTTTTAGCCAGAACAAAGAAATATGACCACATTACTCCTATTTTAGCTTTAGATTACACTGGCTCCCAGTATGTTTTAGAATTGACTTTAAAATTCTATTGATCACTTTTAAAGCTCTTCATGGCCTCTCGCCTTGTTATATTTCTGAACTTTTAGTCCCATACACACCAGCACGTACCTTGAGATCCTCGGGCAGAGGTCTGTTGTCTGTTCCAGAGTCTCGACTGAAAACTAAAGGGGACAGAGCGTTTGCTGTCAGGGCCCCGAGGCTCTGGAACAGCCTGCCCGAGGAAATCAGGTCGGCTGAGTCAGTGAACTCTTTTAAGTCCCTTCTTAAAACATACTTTTATAGGAGAGCCTTTCCCGATCTTATTTGACTTTATTTTATCCCTTTTATTTTATTGTATTTTACTAATTTTATATTAATCTGTATTTTGGTCTTTTCAATATTTTCATGCTCTTATCTTGTTTTTTGTATTATTCTTTACACTTGTTAAAGCATTTTGTAACTTGTTTTTGAAAAGTGCTCTACAAATAAGGATTATTATTATTATTATTACTCTCCAAATAGTATATTCTTCAGATCAAAATTTGAATTTGTCCGATACTTACGCCAAATACTAATACAATAACTTAAAGAAATTCCCATTGGCCTCAGCTGTACATTCTTTTTATTGTTAATTAAGGTTAGCATGCTGACATGCCGAACTAAGACAGCTGCTGTGTCTCAGTTCACGCACTTCCATACTTACTATTTTGAGTGCGTAAGTACGTTCACACTGAGAAGTAGGGCAAAATGCAGTGCACTGTGAGTACCTGGATGGTACACTCATAACGGCCAAAAAGTTGACACTTCTCAGACTCAACAACTAATAACGTCCGGCTGCGAACTGTAGCACCGCTCACGCCACGCCTCTCGCTCACGCCGCACCCCTCGCTCACGCCACTCCCCCTCCCGGTACAGTCTGTAATGATTGGCTGTAACCGCAGCACCTTTCTCTATCGTCTATTCTGCACACGCGCATCTTTATTCCCACCCAATTTGTATCACGCATGTGTGGACATTGTAGTTGTGAGTTGACGAAAGCTTGTGATTTAAAGAAAAACTTAATACAACACAATATTATACAAATACACAGGGAAATGTAATCAACAACAGGATGGCTTCAGGGGAAGAAAAGTGTAGTGTGCTAAGTAGTGCAATATTAATTTTTTCTTGTCAATAGTACTACTGACGTGAAAAGATACTAATATTAACTATTAATTATATCTTTATTTAGATTAACAACGTTAAACAGCTGAAATTAATAACTTTTTATTTATTTTTTTTATAATTGTACTTATTTGTCCATTAACATCATAGATTGAACTTTTGGTGCTCTGAGCTGTGATTACCTACCTGCTGCTTCTGCTGCGTCATTATTTATGTTACCGTCTTCTTCTTTAAATCCCGTCTTCTAGCCTGATGAACTTTGACCGACCAGCGCTCACACCACGCCCCTCGCTCACACCACTCCCCGTAAGCTACAGTCTGCAGCCCTCTCTACAACCGCCATTTTAGCTACGTAGCGGAAGGGGCGGGACCAACAACACGGGAGAAGTGGGAAACAGCAGAGAGAGGCCAACAAGAGAACATGTTTTACAAGTGTCGTACACTATTTCATCACTAAATCCACTTCTGAGAATTTTTGATGGGAGAAATCAAATGTGTAGATGTCGTATATTGACAATATTCATTGTCAATAAGAAAAATGTGCTCAAAAGTTTTCGGAGTTGAGAAGCTCCGCAAGTGGCAGCGTGGGAAGCTCGCGCCAACATGCCGGAGGAGCTAGCGAGGCCCATACAATCTATGGGCCGGCCAGCTGTCCGCTCACAGAGCCCTCTGCTCCCGTAGTCACACAGACCTCTGCAGAGAGTCGGGTATGGCTGCAGCCATCCGTCAGTCTTGAACGCAGCAGCAGACGACCCAGCAACAGCAGCAGAGCAAAACACAACTGTAAGACAGTTTTAATGTTTGTACGGCTGTTCTTCTGTCATTACATTACAGTAATTTAAATTAAACGAAGAGACATATGGCTCATGCTGTACAGAAAATTCTTGGCTTGTGACACTTAAAAAATAAAGAAATAACCCACTGTACACTACCTGCCATATACCAAAAGGCAGAGAGACAAAGGTAGAGAATTGTGGAGCATTCAGCAGCATCCCTTAGGACTTGGTGGTGACCTAAAACAGAGCTAAAAGCAGTGTGAATTTAGGACTTACATTTGCCACGTGTCTAGAAACTCAACTCAAAATAATTGTATACGCTGAATGTGTAAAGAGGCAACCGTTTGCTAACTTGAAAAGTGATATGAGGTGCGATTGACTTCATGCGGCATTGCACAGCACTGACTTAACGTGATGCATGCTGGACTTAAAATAAGGCATGCTGGTTAGAAATTGTGTCTGACTTTCGCCGGCGCTGCAAAACGTCACAAGGCGGCTGCTTTTCTACAACTGCACAAAATTGGAACCACACTTTTGCCTGGTCTCGCGGCATTTTTCTTTGCAAATCACAGTAAGCTCACGCAGGTAGAATGTGTCCGACTTGACTGCCGTTTTTACACCCCGCCCCTGCAGTCGCCTGCAGCTCACGTTAGACTATCAAGTTGGCGAAAGTCAGCCGCAGTCATCTCGAACGTACCTAATATGATAGCGTTTGCTGCTTGTTTCTGCTGCCCCCAAGTGGCCAAAAATTCAGTTATTGCCAGTTTACCAAAACAGGTTCAGAGCATTGAACGGTTTGGATACCTTGGGTGTGTTAAAGTGAGTTAGATGATTCAACACTCTCCTTTCACACAGAAACTGATGTTAAAGTGCCCTTTAACAAGACACTTAATCTTTGGTTTCTTCTCCAGTGCTGCTCTATGTTGGCCTTAAAGGCTGCATATACGGAAGCTGCCAACCACAGTAAAGTTGATCAGCTTTCAGGATTAAATGAGTCCTAAAACTCCAATCCAAATTTAGATTGATGCCACACCACTGCCACAGAGATTCCATCTGCTGTCATTAATATTCAAGTATCTTTTATACACCCATAAGCATAACAAAAGAATGGACTTCTAGTTAGAGTAAGTGAAAGATTTGAAACAATATTTGTCATTCCACCTTATTATAGATGGAATACTTACTTATTGTTGAGAGAGAAAATTTTTTTCTTAAATCTTATGCTGCAGTTCTTCAGTATAGAAAAGTATTTACACATAACACTAGAATTTTATTGGGCAAATCAGAAAGATTCAAGGGTCCCTTCACAGATGGATAGACCCAGATTTACAAATAAATGCTTTCCGGTCCTTATAACACCTTGTAAATCAATAAATCCAGTTGTGTTGTTTTGTGTCTTTAACACAGGCAGGTGTGCCTCCTGGGTGATCCTTGTAATCGCATGGCTCCCAATACCCAGAACGTCTTTCATCATTTGTGTATAGCTAAAACAGCAATAAAATCATGTAGAGCTGCAACGTGTACAGTCAGTAATCTGATATAATGTGTGTCTTGAAGGCTGCAAACACTGGTGAGGATAGGAACATAAATATGATTTAAATAGCACAAATCTCAATCATAACCCTTGGACAGGGTTAAAATAATCAGCACTCTGATTTCATTAGTGCTGGCACAGAGGAAGGATAATATTCAGCAGAGCAATCTCACCAGCTTGTTGAAACAACATCCTGCAAATCCCTGGCTCCTTCTCTTTGTCATGAACTCTTGATTCATTCTAGTTTCTTTTTCACCTTCTTCACCTCTTGCTTTTCTGTCTCTTTGTTTTCATGTTCTGGGATGGGCAGAGTATATTGGCTCTTTGCCCTCCTTTGCTGAAGTGTGTCAGACGTTCACTTCTAGGTAATTAATTAAAGCAGGCACATTTCCTGCGAATGAAAAGAAAATGATAAATCAACAACAATGAATAAAAATCTAAAGAAAAATATTACATTTAAAGACATCTTGAAACACCATTCTTAGACTGAAACATATGGGTGGGACTACATTGTGCCAACATCAGGATGAGGAATGGCAGCACCTCCTTCTCACAGTCTTTCTCCTTCATGTCCTCTCTCTATCTGCATGTCATCTTCTCTGGGGCAATTTGCATTCAATGATGTCTTTATTTCCCATCATCCCCTGGCACTTTCCTGTGCCAACCAAGCAATCTGTGCCAACTTCCTGACCATGCCAATCCAATCATAGTAATCTCTCAAAGGGCCAGAGGCCAAAGAACTGCAGCTATATATTCCATATATATATATGTATACATAAAGCTGTGATGGCTCCAAACATCTGTTTTAACAGCCAAGATGTGGTGGATGCTCTGACAGTAAATATATTTCTCAATAAATAAATAAATAAATACATTTCTTTATTTTATGTTGGGATAGATGGCCAAAATTCAACAACCTAAGCCATACCATAACCGTATGAAAGTGTCCAGCTACATTTACTGTCTCAAATTGAACCATAATGCAATCTCTTTACGCAGTAAGTAATGTGTAGAGGACCACGACTCTGTGTCATATTTTTTCCTACCATATAAATTTATAAAAATGAAATAAATGTCTAATTATCATTGTTTTTATTTATTACAATTATTTAGAAATTCTATTTTACACCTTGACCCTTCAGTTCCATTTGTGGCTCCTGTGTGCATCCTAGACTGAGGCTGTTACACAATATATATAAAAGGCAAGGTACAAAATGTATTTGAAAACAGTTTATTATACCGAAGATGTTAAGATGAAGATTAATGACACAACAGAGCAGCAGGACACCGTGTATTACATTAGGTTTCACATGAGAGTCACTGTTTTAGTGTATTAAATTAGCAGTGGTGTTCAGTGTGACGAAAAAAAACCATAGTACTGTCGCTAAGTGGCTGCTTTTTGCATCCTGGTGTTCATGCATACTGCTTCATTACTACAACAAAAATTAGAATTTCTAAACACAAAGATCTGTTAAGCCTTGATAAAGAACATTTAATAATTTTATAACAATGACACAGTACAGGTCACACCATGGCACACCAGTGTGCCTCAACACACATGCTGAGAACCACTATGAAAACACAGCACGAGAGGAACAAAAGGATGTCATTTTTAGGCTTGATATAACATTGCTCTATTTCATATAAAAATGCACTAACAAGATTCACACTTCATTCACTACAGAGATTTGTCAACATTTCAACTTGCAATTCACAGATGGGAGTTTGTACCTCACAGATGAAGGTCAGCATCCACAGAATGACTTGTAACATCATATTAGCAATTTCATCTTCACTTTCCAGATGATTTAATTTGAAATACACCATGGTCTTATCCCATGTTGGGAAACGTTTGGGAAAATGTGCATTGGTGTGTTTTGGTGGTTTGTTTATGTAGGTTGCTTAGCAAGGGCTGTGAAAGATGGAGGGGCTGGCTTGAATCCAAAATCACTTATCTCATTTGGGTAAAATTCTTAAATTTGTTTAAAAGATTATGTTGTAAAGCATCCTGCTAGCCAACATGGTATTTGGGCTCACTGCCCAGATAACTCACACACTAAGGCTCTAAATGGTATTGCTTCAGTTGTCTCATCTGTCACTCACATTCCTTCATAAATAAACTGTCTCAGGTGATGAAGGAAATTTTCAACACCTATGTGAGACAAAATGATGATAGATCTTAGAAGAAAGTCAAGTCACCCACTGACAGAAGTGCACACAGTGTCATTCAGCTTTTGAATTTATTTAATCAGTATTCCAGTTGTCTGTCCTGCTGTTCTGCTCTCTGTTGAGACTCAACAGAGAGCCGGGAGGACTTGATACTCCTAATTAATATGAATTACATTTAAAAGAAACATGTTTGGATCTGGCCTCAGCTGTCCTCTGATCACTCTCTTGATACTCCATCTCTTGTCTTTACTAGATACGGAGACAAGCTGATAACACATGTATCAGAGTTAGACAAGTTCTACTTATATAGTATTTTGCTGAATTCTTAGAGTCTTATGTATTATTTCACTGCAGGAGTATTAATTAATACATTTGGAGACCAGCCAGCCTTAGAAATCACTGTGACAGTTCAACGATATGATAAATGATATGATATGATAATGAGATGTCAAATAATCCATTGTTCAGGCTTTGCTCTTAAACGTGGTCCATAATTAGTATTTTCTTTTATTAGGTGCTTTTTATTGTTTAGGATATGCTCATTTTTAAGCTTTCTGCCAAGGATGGCTATGGCAGCTTACAAGTGAAATTGAAGTTGAAATAGAAGCCGTTACATGATTACACCTATGCACACTGTACACTTTGAGAAGAGAAACATCTTCTCCCACAACTACCAAGGCCGTAAAATGTATTATATGCCTAGAAATGACAAAATACACACATATTTCTTGGGAGAGATCTCTGCTGTTAAAGAGTCATTTCTGGACGAATTAACATTTTGTGTTACAGTTAAAACTCAGCTGGCTTTGAAAATACAAAAAAATCACACAGCTTGTATGAAAAAAGAAAACATTGGAAGTGTTGGAAGGGCTTCAGTCTGCCTAGGCTTACAGGGCACAAATTCTTCATTACGCTGCATGACCATCTGTAAAACTATCACATAATTGGTTGTTTGGCCTATTGGGAAAACCAGCCTATGTTTAGCTCTCTGTGCAGAGTTCTCCAACATTAATAAGTCCTAACAAGTGTGCCGTCAATTTAAGTTCACTACTGCTACAGTGAATGCCTTCAGCCTGAACTATAGCTGTCAAGGATCTTACTCTCTGTAGGGGATACATGATGTAAAGGTCAAACCAAACCAAACATCCCTTCATGTTCAAGTCAGTCTGCTCTGTTCTATATTAATCTCTATTTACACATCAAGCCATTGTTATCTATAGAAATTCTTTATATAAATATATAATATATATATTTGTATATACATCTCTCTTCAAAAAAGTCAGTAGTGCTTTGCAACCTATCCTATCAGAGTTAAATACAAATAAACAAACACATGTAGAGGTCAGTACAGGCAACATAAAAATGCACAACTGTGATGAATCAACAGCTCGTCCCACCTGCCGGGCAACTCGAAACAAAAACAGTCAGAGTGCTTACAAAAACTCCAAATACTCAACTTCACCACAAAGCATATATGGTGGTCTCTCAGTCTTTTTGCCTCTGTAAGTCTCACGGACCATCTCTGGATGCTCAGCGGTGTTCCCATGGCAGTAGGAGCAGCAGGGCCACCAGGGTCAAAGGTAGCGATTCAACGGACAACGTGTGCGCTGAGCCATGAACAGCCACCTGTCAGAGAATATGCAATAAGATACTGTACTGTAGTATTTAAAGATGAGAGGAATAGAGGAAGGAGAGAATGGATGTGAAATGAGTAATGGTCATGACTTACCTGTGGAGGTGAGAGGTGATGAGGAGGAATGGGGCGACGAGGAGGAGGAACAAGAGCCTTGTCCTTTGCTGCTGGACTGTGACCACTGGACATATCATTTGTCTCATCACCTGAGGAAGACAGAAGCAAACATTAAGAGTACAAGACAGTGCAAGTACATAAAGTAAGCAGTTGTTCTATACCTCTTTTATCAACACCGCCTGTCCTGTTTCAAATATATTAAGTGGATTTTATAAAGGATGTTTTTTTTTTTTAACACAATTAATAATAAAAAGTGGATTGTGGTATTAAAGGGGTGTGGTATTCATACAGAGTGATCCTGGAATTATCCATGTCAGGCTTGGACTTCATCATGTTTGCATTCATCATGCTATCACAACTGGACGTTTCAACCATTTTTCCATCAATTTTGACTTGCTAACTAGTTTTCACACACTCTTAATCACTGTATGTGGTGTCAAGTTTATTAGTTATACTAAAGGTGTGAAGTATACAATCATATAGTATTTAATCTCAAGATCATATTCTTATATCCCTTTTTAAAATCTGATTTTGCTGGACTTTTATTATTGTTGGTTTTTCTTGTATATTGTGTGAAGTACTTTAAAGCTTAGTTTCTGAGTGCTCTAGAAATACAGATCTATTATCCAAAGTATTTATTAAATTACATGATACTAATCTTGAACATGATAAATATAGAAATGCATTAATCAAGTCTTACAAGCAATGTAAGACATTGCACATTTTAGAGGTTTACGCATCTGAAAAGATCAATTAAATCAACCAAACCAAGGTCAGGCATTTGCAGTCATTTTGAGAAATCTAGTTTACAAATATCTTCATAAATAAACAAGTCCATAAATTAACTGAGTCAAGATTTGTGGAAGTAATTTCTGGTTCTGTTTTTAGTCTCATGATTGCACAAAATCTTGCATTAGTTATGGCTGTTTTGTTGTTGTTTAGACCTGAGAGATTTATGGATTTCACCCCACCCACCCACAGCTCTGCACAAATGTGAATACTATTACTTACACACATAAGCACACACATACACACAAACACACACAAACACAGTTGTGCGGAATATTACTTTATTTAACTGGCATATGGTCGGACTTCACCAACTGCTTTAACGCTACATACACATACATATGCATGTATGTAGGTTTGTGGGTGTGTTGACAGGACTCCAGGCCCCTCATGGGAGGAGCTCAGGTAAAGGAGTGAATTAGGACAGGTGGGAGACAGACTGTGCCGCCAGCTAAATGCACACACACACACACACACACACCAGCCATATCAATACATTCTCATACTCACCTGCACTGTCACAAAAAAACACTTGCACAACAGTTGCAACATGCTCTATCCTGGCATGCAACACCCACACACACACACACACACCTGCTTGGGCAGAAATCTGATTCTGTCTCTTACAATACACATTGTTCTGCAGTACAATAGACAAAGAGGCTCTTTCAGTCGATAAGGAATGAGGTGAGTTGTTAATGTTCACACACTCACACAAATATTATATCTCATAATGAATCAGACATGAAGGAAGCTGGAAAACACCCATATAAATATACACATAACCATAAGCATGTGCACACAAAACATTCGGAATTCAAAATGCAGACATAGACACTCTCCTGCAAAACAATTTGAAACCTGTATGAGAGACGCATTATGAGTTTTTGTTTTTGACTGTCTGTGTTGATTTACTCACAGCACAATGTTAACCAATACGGAATCTGTACTTTATTGTGTGCTAACTTGACAAATAGCTGCAACAAGGGACTGTGGGCTCATGGCTGTGCAAATGAGCGTTTGTGTGTTTGTGTGTGTGTATGTGTGTGTGTGTGTGTGTGTGTGGTCTGGTTTATGTCCATCTGTTCCCATCCGAACCTTGTGTCACATCTGGTGTGAACCTGTTTAAGGAACAGAACTGCATCGTATTATTATTGCTTTTCCTCCATAACAAATGTAGTGTGACTAATTCATGTTTTGACTTACTATATGTGACTTTGGTCATCTTGGTTCTGTAAAAAATGGAATTATGTAAAAAACGTCTTTTGCTATTACAGTAAGCTGGTTTAGATGAAAATGGCAAGTTAATTTGTTCTGTCCCTTTAATTAGGCCAAAAAGAACTTCTGAAAATTCCTAACGTTTTTCATTAATTGTTTATACTGAAGAGAAAAGGCAATATGCAAATTGCAATTTTAGATTTTTTTTTTTTTTTTGGGGGGGGGGGGGTATGGGCTAAGTACATTTACTCAAGTACTGTAGTTAAGTACAATATTGAGGTACATGTATTTACTTGAATATTACCAATATGCTTTATCTTTATACCTCTACTACATTACCACAACATTGTGATTCCAGTACTACAGTAATCCATAGTATGATGAGGTTCATAATTAGACTGAATGTCTGAAATCACTCTAACTTTGGAAAGCTGCTTTGAGTGTGTATATACATGGTCGTGTGTGTGCATGTGTATGTGTGTGTTCTGCAGTCTCCTCCTACATGCCCTTCGGCATGTTTGTCTCTAAGCAACAATCCAGAACATGTCACATATGGCAGATTGGCTAGAAATACATGCGTGCGCGATCTCTCACACACACACACACACACACACACACACACACACACACACACACACACACACACACACACCAAGAGAGAGAGATGAGTGATGAACAGTGTCACTGGTCATACTCATGGGGTAGTTTAACCTTTACTGCAGTAAGTAATGAGGAGGTGTGTGTGTTTGTGTCTGTGTGTGATAATCAGAATGCAGGATTGACATTTGAAGGATCCCATCAGTGAGTTGCTGTGGTAGATTGCAGTGTCCAGGTCAGTCCAACTGCAGATCAGCCAAAGGGTTCTGCCTTCTTCATTGGCATCCAGCATATGACTAGTTTACGCGTCCATTCATGCACAGTTTGCATCCCCAGAGGAGTTGAACTGACAGTTCACAAGGAAGGGAAAAAAATGGTCTTCACATATTATAATGGCTGAAGAGGAGAGTTGGTGAAAATATGTAATACATCATCCCCTATCCAAACAAATACATGTGTCCTATTCACCACTGACTTGCAATTTAGATAACTTTTGCAAAATAATAAGATAAAAATGCAATTGGATTCAAGGGAAGTGTTTGCCATGGGGTGACAGCAAGGGTCCCAAGCAGGTGGAGCAGGGCCATAAATCAGAGATGTGGTGACCCACAGGAAACAGACTGGCTGCTAGCACAGTGAATAGTATCTTTCTTTCTCTCTCTCTCAGACACACACACACACATATGTCAACACATACACAGTTTTTGGTGAGGATGTTTTTAATCTAAAAGAGAACGATATGCCTTATAGTTGCAAAAGGAACATAATTGAAAACTGACAATTTCTGGCAACCGGAAGGATTATTCACAAAATGTAACTAATTATGTGTCATGCGTAAAGAAATCTAGATAAAATACATTAATATGATTATTATTGGACTAATACACGGTTACCAAAACCAGAAAAAATACCACAGATGAATAAGAAAAATAAATTAAAACAGAATGTAATATACTGAATTCAGTAACAAATGTTCTCTTTTATTAAAACACTTGTCATGCATGTTTTTTTCCCCTTTGTACATATTCAGATATTTAGCTTGTTTCTTTAAAAATGCACACAAATTTTTTTTAGCTGAGAACACTTTCAAGTTTTGTTCACTGTGTACAGGAATAAATGTGTACCAGCTGACAAATTATTATAATCATTAAAACAAAATTTTAACATATTTTTCAGGAGATTGTTTGATTTAATTTGTTGAGGCTTCACTATTTTATTAAATAAATCTCTGATCGGGGCTAAATAAACAAATGTTCATCTGTGTAAGATATAAGTGACAGTAGATATCAAAAAGATATTGCTGATAAGAAGTGGCATGTCTTTATTCATGTCATTTATTTGCCCAATTTCAAAATAGACAAATTTTAGCCAATGTAATGTATGTACTGAAACAAATGAGATAAAACATGTTAGTCATCATTCCCATTGTTTGATTGTAATTTCATTGTTTTGTTTTTGTATTATAGAAGCAAAACATTCTACCTCCAAATGACCATCGAGGCAAAATCATTATTTGCACCTGTGGTACCTTAATCCATTGTAATGTTCAGGATTTAGCATTGCTGCAGGATCTGTAACAAGCATCCCCAAAGCATCCATTCCAGAGAAGCCAATGTCAAAACCTCAGCAGTACAGTGTTTAACTCTCTTTCATGCATTCCCCCAGTCTGCCATCTGAAACAAAATCCAACTGATAACGCAGCATCTTCCTAAGCAGACAATACAGTGTGTCCATAAACATAGTGTGTCACACAAACATGTTAGTTATGCTTTGATCAGGCAAATCTGTGCGTAAAGCAGAACTGAATGGATGCAGTACATGAGTTACAGTAAAAAAGGAAGAGGATAATTTGTACTTTCTTGTCTGACCTCGGAAGGTAACTTCAAGTAGTTCAAATATTTCTGTGTTTATGTTTTATATACAGTATATGTGCTGTGTGTGTGTGTGTGTGTGTCCCTGTGGATGGATGCATGATCTGATGAATTTGAAAAGTGACCTGACAGCAAAGGTGAATTTGTATTTGTGTGTGTGTATGAAATAGACAAAGGATGGAGTGTGTTAATGATCATGTCTGATATCAGATGCCTGTGGTATATTTAAGGCCCCATTTGTGTACAATCTTGTTGCCCCTCAATTTGTATGTATAAAACAGACATTCATTCTCTCTCTCTCTCTCTCTCTCTCTCTCTCTCTTACACACACACACACACACAAAGACACACAAACACAAATGAGGTGACCTTGAAAGGTGTCTGGATAGCTGGTGTGTGTGGGGGGGCGTGTAAATGTATCCCTAGCATTTCCAGCTGAATCAGTAATGAGCATTTCATTACTTCAGCCTCAGTTCCCCAGGGAAGAACACACACACACACACACACACACACACACACACACACACACAGAGCAGGAAGAGCATGGAAAAGGTAGCTGTGGATTATACTCTCAGCAAGTGCTTATCAGAATCAAATTATAAAGTGATAGCAAA